ATGGTTGGGGGGGGGGTCACCCCAACATGAGGAGCTGTATGAAAGGGTCGCGGCCTGAGGAAGGTTGAAAACCCCTGTTCTAGAGGGTCGCTCAGAACTGACTTGATGGCAGTGAGCTAGGTTTGGGTTTACACAGAGAGAGTCAGTGGGAGGCTGCCAAATGCCTTTTCTTTCTGAAATGGTGGTAAAATCCCAAATAAATCCCAAACTCAAGCTATCACTGAATCGTAGTCCTTGTTAGCGACCCAATCCTCTGCGCTGATCACTGCAGTAGGCCTTGAGGATTCATCCACGGACGACTAGCTTGGGACCCGTCCAGCTGGAGGGTGGGGCGGGCACTCATCAGCCAAGCACTAGTTAATTGCAGGTGAAGAGGAGGTACGTGCCAGGCTGGCAGGTAAACTTCGCAGACAGGAGAGGCCCGGGGAAGCGCAAGCAATAACGGTCCAAGGGTTAATGGTCTGTCTAGACGGGTCTTTGTCGCAACTTCTCACCCTGGGCGCAAGGTCCAAGACGGTCAGCGAGAGCCGGGAGCGCGGGCACGCGCCCCAGCCCCTCTGCGCTCAGCCCACCACGCCGGGCAGCAGTAGTGTGGAGGCAGGTGGGCACGTGGGCGGGGCCGCCGGGGGCGGGGCGGGGCCAGGCGGGGCGGGGCCGTCGGGGGCGGGGCCGGCCTGAACGGAACGCGCGAGCGGACGGTTGCGTTTCCGGCCGGAGGCTTTTGTGGAACGCCCCTCGTGGCCCGGTGGGCAGTGGCTGCGGCTCCGGCGGCGGCGGCGGCGGCGGGGCGATCCGGAAGTCAGCACCATGTCCAGCCTGCACAAGAGCCGGTAAGGGGGTCACGGTGGCCGACCCCTCTGTGGGGAGCACGGTGTCGCCAGGAACCAGGAAGGCCCCCCGGGAGTGCGAGAGCGGGCCTGAGGCGGGCTGGAGTGGAGACAGCGCGCCCGCTTCCAGTGGTCCCTTCCCGGGCTTCCCGGCCGCCGGTGCCCCCTCCTCCACCTCTAGGTCTGGCATTTCTAGGGCCTTGGTGCCCTGCGCCCTGCCGCGTTCTCTCCTTACTCCCTCCTGTCTCCAAATGCCCCCGGCCCCCCGAAGCTCGTTCTTCTGCAGTTGATAGGGAGCTTGCATTCGCCAGCGTCCAGCCCCCAGCGACATTCGTACCTTTAGCTAAATCGACTCTCACCGAAGTTTTCCTCCCGCACTCGGTTTTCAAGTCTTTGGCCCTTGCCTGCAGCTGCCGCTCCAAACCCAAACCCGCTATGGGTTCCCACTCATAGCGCCCCTCCTGGATCGAGTAGCACTGCCCCGTAGGAGCCGAGGCCGCCACTCGCTAGGAAGCAAGCTGCCACATCTTGCTTTCTCATAGTGACTGGCCAGTTAGAATTGCCGCTGTGGGACTGCAGCCAGCGCTTTCACCAGCACCCCGCCACCTGGACGGATTTCAGCAGCTCCAAGAAGCCTTCCTAAAGGCATTGTTTTTGAGCTTGGAAAGCGAGTTGAGGTTACACAAGTGCATGGTCAGCGGATCAAGTTACATCTGGTGTCTAGTGTTCCTGGAATTCATGTGCTGTGCACTGGGCCTGATCAGCAGGAAGTGCCCAGTAATGCCAGTGCTCTCCATATGGGCCCGGGACCATTTCAAGGTGTTCACGGGCGAGAGAACCTTCTCAGAAGAGTCGTTCTCAAGGTTCTTTGGCATTCTATGCTTCTGCAATTAGAGGAAGAAGCGATATTGAACATATATCATTAGTAGTCTCCCAGAGCTGCCTTTTGGCCAGGACCTTGACTGAGCTTTGCTCTCTTTGTGTGATGGAGGGAGGAGAAGCCTAGGACACAGGCTTGAGCCCTGTGGCCATCACTTTGGGGTCTGGGTGTGCTTCATTTGCTCCCCCCTCCCCTTCTAGCATTGCCGATTTCCAGGATGTCTTGAAGGAGCCCACGATCGCCTTGGAAAAGCTCCGAGGACTCAGTTTTAGTGGTGAGAAACAACTCTACTTTCGGGAATGCCCCAGGGCAGCAGGGTGGCTAGGACAGAAGGGACGGTGCTTAGTGTCACACGGTCAGTTCTGAGGGCCACTCTCTTTGGGGACACGGGTTGTCTTCTCCAGGTTCTGTAGATTCTTTACTGGACTTCGGTTAACATGCCTCTAGGCCTTTAAACAGGGTGATACCAACTTGAGGAGCTCTGGTGACATAGTGGTTACTCGTTGGGCTGCAATCCGCAAGGTCAGCAGTTCAAAGCCAACTGCCAGCCCCAAGGGGTGATAGACAAGCTTTCTACGACTCTAAAGAGTTACGGTCTTGTAAAGAGTTACGGTCTTGTAAAGAGTTACGGTCTTGAAACTCACAGGGGCAGTTCTAACCTGTCCCACAGGGACACTCACTATGAGGCATTGATCCATGGCGGTGAGCTTGTTTTTTGTTTGATGGGTAACTTGAGAAGATCAAGCCTGATGATGAGAGGCAGGGCAAGAGACACTTGAACCTCCTTCTGGCCTTTCCTCATTCCTCAGCCATCTTCCAGTGTTACGGGATGTGGTTTGCCCCGGGCGGTTTCTGTTTTTGCCCCATGGCATGGAATCAAAGCAGACTAAGGTAACCATGAACTTTAGTTAAAGGTGAAAGTCCAGCCTTGGGGTATGGACTTTAAGGAGCTGAACCTCAGTAATGTTTGACTTTGGTTTTCTTGCCTTGGTTACCTTCCCAGTACAAAGATAGCAGCTCTCCCCGCGGTCTTTAGAAAGTAGCCCGGGATGTTTTGTGTAGCTTCTTGTCACTGCCCTGCCCGTTTAGTTTTGTCAGCAAGGAGTTCTCGAGGGGCCCCCTCACCCCCTTGCAGGTTCTGAGGTGGCAGCATTAGCTCCTGCTTCTACCCAGGGTCCTCTAGCAACAGCTGTTTGAGTGAGGTTCCTGAGGAAGCTGTAGAAGTGTGTCTTCTGTTCAGGACAGCTAGTGCCAAATGTGGAGGCCCTAAAGATTTTGCGGGACTCTGGGATCAGGGCTGGACGGAAGTCATCCTATTAGACTCCGGGTGAGGCCGCCTGGGCTATGGGCTGAGTTTGCACTCGAGTGCCCCGACCCTGGTTTGAGTCGTGGATAGTTCTGTGCCTTCCGGACCAGGTTCCCTGTCCGTCTGGTGAGGTCAGGAGTGCTCAGCTCCCTGTTCACTAAGGGTCATAGCCATAAACCAAGAAGGAGCCCTGGTGACTCTGTGCTGACCACAAGGTCTTCAAGGACCAGAGAGCATTCAGTGGAGGCTCAGTCTAGGGGGGACTTGGGGCCGCCACTGCCATTCAGACCCTTTCGTGAACCAGGGTGCTCAGAATGTAAGCTCTAATACAAAGCCCACCAGCTCTTTGTCCAAGCAAGAAAGATGAGGCTGTCAGCTCCGATAAAGACTGACAGGCCCAGAGACCCGAAGGAACAGTTTCCCTGCCCGCGAGGGCTGCTGTGAGTTGGTGACCCAAGAAAACCAAACCCCCCGACCATCAGGTCAAGTCAAACAACATCTGAAAAGTCCTTGGCAGCTCATTGTACAGTCGACAGTCAAGGACTATCTTGTGTGTGCCAAGCCCTGTACTCCCACTGCCGACTCACAGTCACCCTCTGTGGGTTTCCGAGCCTGTGACTGTTAAAAAGCCCAGTCTTTCTCCCGAAGAGCTGAACTGTCGGTGTTGAACTGCCGAACATACAGATTGCAGCCCAACAAGTAATCTCTCCACCGCCAGGGCTCCATAGCCCTGTACAAGGCACTGGGAATAGAAGACAGATGTACTTCTTGTGCTTGGAAGGAGTTACAGACATGAATTCTACCAGGGGTGAGGGGTCACGGAGCTGTTGGAGCTCTTAGTATTTATAGTAGAGGACCCGAGGTCGGTCGGGTTGATGGTAGTTGGTAGAGTCTGTCCTAAGAAGAAGATACTCAGGACGAGACAGATGGAGCAACATTATCCTCAAAAGAATGTTCCAGAGAGGTATGCGTGTGTATGGGGAAAGCTGTCTAGTAATCTCTGGGGGGAAATGAGTTTTGGAGTGTCTTTTGCCCACCCTGCTGCCTGCCAGCCGGCTCCTGCAATGGGAGGGTTCTGGGCCTGTGGCCTGGGGTGTGACCTTTGCCTGCTGTGTCCACAGGCATCCCCTGTGAGGACGGACTGCGGTGCCTCTGCTGGAAGGTGGGTGTGCCTGCGGGGGCTTCTCTGCTGACTCTCGGTTCCTGCATAGGCTCCCTCACCTGAGGCCTGCGCCTTCCTGTGCTTGCCTGAGGAAGCTTCTCTGGGTGAAAACTACGGGTTTCTCTTCCTGTTGACATCTCTTCTAAAGCCAGGGAAGCCAGCTCCCTGCTTCCCGGTCCAAGCGCTGCAGGGGGAGTGCTGGTGGGTGGCACAGACCAAGGCCTGCCGGGCTGTGCCCATAGCTGTTAGGTGAGGGAGAAGCCCAGGCTCTGGTCTTCAGGCCTCTTGGCCACAGAGGCGTGTTACCATTTGGAAGAGCCCATGTGTGGAAAAGCAGAGGAAAGGGCTGGTTTGGGAGAAAGGAGGCATTGGGAGGGATGGGAAGCGGGTCCTGACGCACACCTGTACTTCTTCCTGGGTTAGAATCCGTCTTGGCTTTGCTGGGCTTTCTTAGACATTGTTTTCCAGCCCTGCCGGCTTCTGCCCCCGACTCTGGGTGGGGTGGGGAGTCACCGAACCTTCCTTTCTCCCTTTGTGCAGATTCTCTTGAACTACCTCCCCTTGGAGAGAGCCTCATGGACCTCAGTTCTGGCCAAGCAGAGGTAAGGCCCACGAAAGGGTGGTGGTGGCAGCACCCTCCCGCCTCCTGGGGTTACCTCTTGGAGCACCCCAGCAGGACCAGGGAGCCAGCCCCTCTCTTCTCTCCTGCAGGGAGCTGTACTCGCAGTTCCTGAGGGAAATGATCATCCAGCCAGGCATTGCCAAGGCCAACATGGGGGTGTCCCGAGAGGATGTGACCTTTGAGGACCATGTGAGTGGGGTCGGCATGGGGACAGGAGAGGTTTGGAGGTGGGGAAGGGGTTGGTTTGGGAGCTGGCAAGATCCCCTCAATCCCAAAGACAGCGCAGCCTGGCTTCGGTCCCTTCGTTTAGTTTCTCAGCCCTTGAAGACCACTGTGTCCCCCCCTCTCTGCCCCAGGCCTGGGAAGTGCAGTGCCCTGAGCCCTGCCGGCGGTAATCGATGGTAGGCTGCATTTGAGGGGTGATGTGTGTGCGGCACGGCGCCTAGTCTCTTTGAATCCTTCCATTCGTCCGTGGAGGAAGATGGGTGGGTTTATGGTTAAAGAAAGGGCAGGGCGGGGCCAAAGTGAGGACAGGCTTTCTTGGCTTGGAGGCTGCCTGGTGCTGGCCGCGGGGACCAGCTCCTCCCCCGTGCAGCGCTGGGGCGGTGCAGTACCATGAATTGCACCCGTTGTGATCGGCAACTGAAGCACTAATAGATTCTATCTGAAGCGCCCCCCTCCAGGTAGACAAGGCGCCCCGGGGCTCAGGGGTGACACGCTTGGCTGCCAACCAAGAGGTTGCCACTCTGAACTCACCAGCCGCTGTGTGGGAGAAAGATGGGGCAGGCCGCTTTGGGAACCTTACGGCGGCTGTTCTCCTCCGGTCTGTAGGGCCCATCTGAGTCAGAAGCAACAATGACTCTCTGGGAAGTCAAACTGCTCATTCAACAACAAACCTTTGGTGCCACCTGTTAATAAACACAGCGGCCTGAGGGCATATTGTTTATGAGTTGGGCTGCCAACCACGGGGTCAGCAGTTCAAAACCACCGGCTGCTGTGCAGGAGAAAGGGGGAGCGCGTTCTACTGTAGCGCTACAGTCCCGGGAACTCATGGGCAGTTCTGCCCTGCCCCGTGGGCTCGCTCTGAGTCGGCGTCGACTCGGTGTCAGGCAGAAGAGGGCTGGAGACCTGTTCCTGGACAGTCACAGCCTAGGAGGCTGTGGGCAGGGCCGCTGGGCCTGTGCCTTGGTGGCCCATATGGTGGCACAACAGCGGCGGCCAGGAAGAAGTCTGCCCTCGTGAGTGTGGACTGCTCTTGGCGGCTGCAGGAAGGCCCGTGCTGTCCCAGGCTTATTCAGGACCCCAGCTGGGTCGAGGGTGGGGTCAGTGATGGAAGGCTCCTGGTGGGCGGCCAGTGTTTTCCCTGGGGCGTGCCAGCCGGGCCCAGGACCCCAGGAGAGTTGCTCTTTTTCTCCCTACAGCCACTCAACCCCAACCCAGACAGCCGGTGGAATACGTACTTCAAGGACAATGAGGTGCTGCTGCAGATTGACAAAGATGTCCGGTAATGGCTCCCTGGGGGGCTTCCCGGGGGTTTCCCAGCTCTGCCCTTTCCTTTCCCAGCCCAGGCCCACTGGGTGGGCGGCTGGGCGGCCCCAGCAGGCGGTCTGAGCCCCAGTGATGACAGGGCCAAGAACTGGGGCTTCAGCAGAATCTTCCCCTCTGCTCTAGCTCCAAGTGGGAACAGCAGGGTGTTCCGCACCAGAGGAGTCCCGCCTGGCCCATCCACCTTTGGCGGCATGGCTTGGCAGTCCTCGTCTGTGGCAGCTTGATTCCAGGCCCTGCTTCTGCCTTCCTGTGTGTCTGCCCACGTGTCCCTCTTTTCAACACACCAGTTATATTGGCCTAAGACCCCATTTGAATTTGATTTGCCGCATGTGCTCGAGTATAAGCCGGCCCGAATATCAGCCGAGGCACCTAATTTTACCACAAATACGGCATTAAAAATGTGCTGGGAAACTCGGCTTACACTCGAGTATATGTGGTGTATCTGCAGAGACGACTGCTGAATAAGAGTGTGCTTGTGGTTTCTTGGTCGGCGTGGGTTGTAAGGGGATACTGGTCAGCCTCGTAAAATAAAGACCTCACGGCCATCACGTTGCTCCCGCTCAGCAGCCCTACAGGACAGAGAGGAACTGCCCCTCAGGGTTCCCAAGGCCGGGCATCTTTAGAGCACAGTCTGCCGCAGCCGCCTCCTGCAGGGCCGCTGCTGGGGGTCGGGCCGCCCACCCGTGGGCTTGCTGCTGAGCCCTGTAATGCTTTGTCACCAGAGCCCCTACCATCTCTTAGGTGGGCATATACCATCTACAGTGACTGTACTGCTGTTTAGGAAAGATCACAGTGTGTTTCAAAAATAACGTCTCCGTCATTTTTAGGATGCTTGGAATTGCCTGGCATCAGGGCCAGACCGGTTTCTCGAGTAACGCCATTCTCGTGTTCTCTCTTCCCAGGAGGCTGTGCCCAGACATCTCTTTTTTCCAAAGCGCCACCGAGTACCCCTGCCTCCTCATCCTGGACCCCCAGAATGAGTTCGAGACCCTCCGTAAGCGGGTGGAACAGACAACGCTGAAATCACAGACAGTGGCCCGGAATCGGAGCGGGGTCACAAATGTGAGAGCCAGCATGGGGATCCTCGGGGTACACGGGACAGCCCTTCTCGCCCTACCCGAGGGGCCGAGCCCTGGCTGAGGGGCTTCAGGCTCATGGCCCCTAACGCGATATTGAAGAGCAGCTTGGTTCCGTCAGCTCCACTCTCGGGGGCGCTTTCTGAAAGGCAAGTAGCAGGTGCTCAGTGAGTGAGCCCAGATGAGTCAGTCTACACCCGCAGAGAAGAGATGGCTCTTGGAAAAGTTTAACTACCAACCACCTGAGAAAGAGGGATGGGAGAGCAGTGGGGGCAGGGCGGTTGCCCTGAAGGAGCTGGGGCCTGCAAGGTGGAGGGCAAGGAGCCTTCTAGATGGTGGAAGAGATTTTGTGGGACAGTCCTTGCTGGAGTGAGCATCGTGTATCCTGGTCAGGGCATCTGGTGTGGTGAGGTTACCTGGGGCCTTTATCCCGAGGGCTGGGCTTCTGAGCAGGGCTGCTTTTGATGCTCTGTCTTGGGGCAAGAAGGGAACAGGTGTGTGTGTAGACGGAAACCTTAGAAGGTGGCTGTTGTCATCCCAGCAAGAGATGGTGGTGGCTGGGTGGGCCGGGGCAGAGGGACAGAGATGGCAGTGGTAGGGTGGACTGGCTTGTGAGATAGAGCAGGTGGGTGGTGAAGGAAATGGGAAATCAAGGGTGACTCCCCCCGTTTCTGGCTTGACTATGTTTTTAAGCAACTGACAGCACTTCTGGACAAGTCAGGGTGGGTGTTTGGGGCCCAGCTGGGGATGGACAGGACTGCGGGGCCCTTCTGCTCCAGGTGCGATGGGTGACTCTTCTCTGAGGTCTGCCGAGTGAGCGAGAAGAGAGCAGCCGTCTCCAGGGCCAGCAGGGTGGGTGCCCCATCGCTGTGGGCGGGGATCTGTGCTGACAGCGTGGAGGCCCAGCAGAATGGGCGGGAGAGGTCAGACGCTTGGTTTAATAGCAGCACAGCGGCTTTTGAGGGCAGCCCTCTTGGCTGCGGATTTCCTGCTCAATGCTCCTGTGAGGGGCATTGCACTTTCGTACGTGGGGCTTGGGGCCGGAGCTGGTGCTCCTTTTAGCTGTTGGGCTGCCCCTGTGGCCCAGAAGCCAGCCAGATGCTTGGTCCCTGACCCTCCACCTGTGGCAGGGCTCTGGCACATGGGAAGCTCTCAGAACTGTTCGTGGTGTGTGCACATGTGCTTACACTTGGCTGTGTAGTGGGAAAGGGAGTTTGATGTCCCTAGGACCCTGACCCCTAGGATAGCTTCAGACACCGCCTCTGCTTGGGTCTGCCTCCACCTCTAATACAGGTATAAGAAGATGAGGTTTTCTTTTCCGAAACCTACATGGGCAGCTCTGCCCTGGTTTGGGGTAATATCAGAACCAGTCTTAACTTCAGGGGATAAGGCTCAGAGTCAAGATCAGCCCGAGGCTGAGCCCTGTGAGGTGGAGTCACCTGTCCTCGGTGTCCCGCCATGCCCCAGCCCTGGCTCCAGGCGTTCCTCCCAGCACACGCTGCTGCTCTCTGCCGGGGTGACAGCCCTTTGTGATGGCCACTGGTTTCCTTACACCACCGTGTACCCAGCGCTAAGTGCCTTGCGGGCTACGGGAACGACGATCAGAATCAGGAGGCTACAACTCAGGCCCCGGACCTGGAAGCATCTAGGCCAGCATTTCTCAACCTGTGGGTCATGACCCCTTTGGGGGTCGAACGACCTTTTCACAGGGGTCGCCCGGTTCATAACAGTGGCAAAATGATAGTTATGAAGAAGCAACAAAACTAATGTTATGGTTAGGTGGTCACCACCACATGAGGAACCGTGATAAAGGGTCACGGCACTAGGAAGGCTGAGAACCACTGCTCTAGGCAAAGTCTCCCCTCAGCGCAGGTCAGCTCTCAGTCCCTCTCAGCCGGGCCAGCAAGTAGGCTGTTCTCTTGGCACAGGCCATTGCCCATCCAGGTGAGGACCCCTCCTTTTGGCCTCCCCGAGACAGGCTATTCTTGGCCTGTGCTTCTCCCAGCAACCCTGCTGCAGGGCCCCGGCAGGCCTCCTGCCGTCTTCAATGTTACAGCCCTGACAGCCCTTCCAGGGGCTTCTGTGCCTTCCCCTCCTCTGCTTGCTCCTTCCTTCTCTCCTTCCTCACTCCCTCCCTTTTTTCCCTTCTGCTTCTCTCAGCTGTTTGTATGTCTGAAAAACTTTGGTCAGGATAGACACACACACACACACACACACACACACACACACACACACGCACCCCCCACACACACCCCTGACAATTTCAAGGCCCTTCCCAATTTGGGGCAGCACACTGGCCAGGCCACAGGCACTTCATGTACTTGGTAGGCAGAAGCCCGCTCTTTGCATGCTCCAAAGCCACTGTGTTTGCATGGGTCCACCGATCCGTCCCAGCACAGTGCATTTCAGTTCCAGGACAGACAAAAAGTAGCAAACCAAGTCGTCCACGCTCACCTAGAGAACGTGACAAACTCTTGGCGGGGGCATCAGAGGAAGGACACTAGGGCGAAGGTAATTCCCTAGGGCTTCAAGAAAAATCTAGTAAGCTGCAGAATCCAGGTCAAAGGCCACACGCAAGAATTCCTTTCACTACAACAGGTAACCCCCTCCCTGGGGTTTCTGAGGAGGAGCCCAGGTGGCACCATGATTGAGTGCTTGACGACTAGCTAAAAAGATGGGTGGGTGGTCCGAACCCACCCGGGGCTCCAAGGGAGAAGTGTGAAAACCTGGGCAGCCGGCTTTGTCACTCAGAGGTGGGGTCCACTTGGCAGCAGTGAGTTTTAGGACAGCGTGGTGGTACGGGTGGTGCGTCTGACAGCGTAGGTCTAGGTTGGAGGTACTTGAATTTTGACAAAGCTCCTTGAAGGGTTCTGACAGATAGGCTGAGGCTGGAGACCCGGCCACACTTATTGTTCATGTCTAGCAGGGATCCCCGTCTTTCACGGGAGGGAGTAGAAAGCCCCTGTCGAGTAGCGTCTGGTTTCGAACTGCTGACCTTGCAGAATATAGGGCAAGACATAACCATGACGCCACCAGGGCCACTGGGAATTACCATCATTTAATCGATGGCCAACCTTTTTTCTTCGGAAAAAGTCCAAACATTCTGAAAAGCTCAAGCAGCAGTGCATCATACTCGGATGTTTTCTAGCGCGATTCAGCATTTGTTGAGGTTTTGCAGTGTGTGTGTGTGTGTGTGTGTGTGTGTGTGTGTGTGTGAGTGACATCCACACCGTTGTCCTGCCTCTTCATCCCTAAGTGCAGCAAGCCCCACTCACCCAAACAGGGACATCATATCCTCCTCTCTGACCATTGTCGCGTCTGAAATGAACAGTAATTCCGTCCATGCCACGTTCCAGCTTTCTCAGGCGTCCGGAGAGTACCCCGGCTTGTTTTAAACCAAGGTCCGCTCCACGTTTGAGTCACGCTGGGAGGGGCCTGCCTTCTCGTGGCCTGCAGCTGGCCTGCACTTCATGTTCACGCAGCAATTGCACTCTGCCCTCGGCCCTCTGGTTTGGCATCAGGCTTTTTGTTTGGTCCTTTGATTAAGGCACGTGTACACAGTAAAATGCACAGATCCTAAGGACACAACGCACTATATTTTTATCTCATGTATCTACCAACCAGAACACGCTACAAATCATTTCTATCGTCCGGGAAGTCGTGCCTCTTCCCAGCCACTCCCCCTGGTCTCCGAAGTGGAGCCAGTCTGGCTCTTCTCACTGCGAGAGGTTCTCGTCCACTTGCCCTGCAGGGCGGGTCACGTTCTGGGCTTGCCTGGTGGTTTCTTCTCATCCCAGGTTTCCTGTGAGCTGGAAGTTGGGTCTGAGCTGGGTAAGCGTTTGGGGTAGGAATACATACCCTCGGTAATGGCGTCCCCCCCCTTCTAAGAGACCCCCCTCTTCTCCCTCAGATGAGCTCCCCACACAAGCTCCCCGCATCCTCTCTGAATGAGTACGAAGTGCTGCCCAACGGCTGTGAGGCCCACTGGGAGGTGGTCGAGCGGATCCTGTTCATCTACGCCAAGCTCAACCCCGGCATCGCCTACGTGCAGGGCATGAACGAGATCGTGGGGCCCCTCTACTATACCTTTGCCACGGACCCCAACAGTGAGTGGAAAGGTAAAAGAGGTTGTTTTCTCCCTTGGTTGCCTCTCTCTCTCTGTCTCTCTCTGCTGACTCGTTTGACAACCAGGTGGAGGAAAGGCCGGCTGGTGGGCGCCCTCCGGCCGGGCAGCACGCTTCCTCTCCCTGGGCCTGCCTTCTGCTCTGTCCGATGAGGGAGCTTCTGGGGCCATTTCTAAGAGCTTCTGACCCTGCTTTGCTAGACAGGGCAGTCAGTCACCGCTGTCCTGATGTTGACCCCATCAAGTGGTGTCAAGAAAGAGATGTCGCCAGGAAGTCGAATGACAGAAACACCACGGACTGCACAGCTGCAGGAGCGCGCAGGATGCCAGAGGGCCGGAGATAGCCATCCTGGCTCTAGCCTGCAGGGAGCGAGCAAGGGCAGAGGAAGGACTGAGGCCAACCACAGGGCGGGGGGAGCGGGGGGACACGACACTTGGTGAAGCTCAGAGACAGGGGCAGTCACTCCTCAGTGGCCCCCGTCCTGCCTGTCTCCCCCAGAACACGCTGAAGCAGATACCTTCTTCTGCTTCACCAACCTCATGGCGGAGATCCGGGACAACTTCATCAAGAGCCTGGATGACTCGCAGTGCGGCATCACCTACAAGATGGAAAAGGTGTACTCCACCCTGAAGGACAAGGACGCCGAGCTCTACCTGAAGCTGGTGAGCACGCAGGCCTGCGGGCCCACACACGGGCCCTCAGCTGGTTTCCTGAGCCTGCCAGGCCCGAGGAAGGACCGGCCGGGGACTGCCAGCCCCCAGGCTGACGATGGTGGAAACCTCAGGCTGGGAGTGGGAGGCTGCTGAGCCACTGGGTACAGAGTAGAGCTACCCCTTAGCATTTCCCAGGCTGTCATCTCTGTAGGAGCAGGCTGCCTCATCTTTCTCCTGTGGCGTGGCTGGTGGGTCTGAAACCCACTGACTTCGAGGTCATCAGCTAAGTGTCGAGTCACTGTACCACCAAGGGCTCCCACTGGCCACTTGACCCAATAGACCCACGCCAAGCTCCCTCCCATGGAGTCAGTGCTGACTCACAGCCACCCCTGTGGGTTTCCATGACTGCAGCTGTTCACGGATGTAGAACGCCCAGTCGTTCTCCCTCAGAGCTGCTGGAGGGTTCCAACTGCCGACCATGCAGGTGGTCACTGCACCACTCGTCCATGGGGCACTGACTACGACTAAATGACTCAGTCCTGTTAGTACCCCTCGGCGGTAATATATACAAACTTCTTTAAAAAGTTTCTCTGATGAGAAGGAGCCGTGGTGGCGCTGTGCGCTATGTGTTGGGCTGCTAACCACAAGGTCAGCAGTTTGAACCCACCTCCTATGAAGATTTACAGCCTTGGACACGCAAAGGGGCAGTTCTGTCTTACAGGGTCCCTACGACTCAGAATTGAGTGGATGGTAGTGAGTATTTTGGAAGGAGATCCAGTGTGTTCGTCTGGGTACTTTAGAGAAACAAAGCCATAGAAACTCATGTATAAGAGAGAGTTTTATATAAAGGTTAAGTGCACATCAAGGAAACAAACCCAACCCAGTGCTGCCCAAGCCCACAAGTCCAACATGAGCCCATATGTCCAACACCAAGCCACAAAGTCTTGC